GTTACTAATAATGGTGCTGTGTGGAATCATTGTTTTATACACCGTGAAGCTTTGGCATCCAGAGAAATTCCACAGAATCTCATGGAAGTATTGAAAGTGCAGTGAAAGTTGTTAATTTCATTAAAGGAAGCTCACTAAATAGCCAACTTCTTGAAACATTTTGTTCAGAGATTGAACTAATCCTACCCACTTACTGTATCACACCGAAGTTCGGTGGTTTTCTCAAGGGGAAATACTAAGCAGGGTTTACGAACTCAGGAATGAGATTCTCATTTTTCTCATTGGAAAAAAAAAAATCTTATTTGGCAAGTATTTTTGAAGATGCCATTTGGGTAACGAAATTGGCAAATTTTTACTGATATTCTTGGCATTCTTAATGAACTAAGTTTAAAACTACAGGGGAAAAACAGTGATATATCCCAACATGTTGAAGGTATCCAAGGATTCCAAAAGACATTATTGTTATGGCAAGCAAGGCTTAAAAGCAACCGGCCCAGCTACTACATGTTTCCAAGATTTTTGCAACATATTGAAAAGAATATTATTAATGAAAGCAACTTTAAAGAAATAAAATTAGAAATATTGTTACATCTTGCCTCTTTATCTCAAACTTTTAATCGTTTATTTCCAGAAGAGAAACTTGAAACATTAAGAGAAAACTGTTGGGTAAAAGATCCATTTGCTTTTCGAAACCCAGAATCAATAGTTGAGTTAAACTTACTGCCTGAAGAAGAGAGTGAATTAATGCAGCTCAGCTCCTCATATACATTGAAGAATGACTATGAAACATTAAGTTTATCAGTATTTTGGATTAAAATAAAGGAAGACTTCCCTGTGCTCAGTAGAAAGAGTACCCTACTATTATTACCATTCACAACAACTAGTTTATGTGAACTAGGGTTTTCAGTCTTAACCCAGTTAAAAATGAAGAAAAGAAATGGATTGAATGGTGCAGCAGATATGCGGGTAGCATTGTCCTCCTGTGTTCCAGACTGGAATGAACAAACAAGCACACCCATCACATTGAATTAATCTCACCTGGTTTTGGGTTCTGTGTTTCCCATTTTGTATTTTTCCATGTTGTATTTAAATGTTAATATATAATTTTATGTGATAACTTTGTTATGTTTCTATTTTTGTTATGCTTAAATATTAATAAAATAATGTAATTTTATATTCATTGAACAAACATTTAATGAACTTCTATTAGAGGCCAGGAACTATTCTAGAGACATTTGGGATACAGTAGAGCTAATGTTCTGGCAAGGAGAGAGACAATAGATATAAATGGGCTTTATAATATTTAGAAGATACAAGTGCTATGGGAAGAATAATAAGAAAAGGGGGTCAGGAAACTATTTGGGGACCAAATCATAAAGGGCTCTGCCATTATAGGGCCTCTGGGATTTTTTTAAGTGGAATGGAGAGCAATTGAAGGATTACCTAGAGGAGGGACATGGTCTGAATTAGGTTTTAGAAGACTCACTCTGCTGTTTTGAGAGTGAATGAAATGTTCCTTCCCTCAAGAGGGCTTTCCTAACCACCTTAGTTTGGGTAAATTGTCCATATTCTCCCTTTTATTTCTCTGTAGTATATAATTTGTGGTATTTTTTCTTACTTGATTACTAACTAGTTCTGTCAGTCTACCACCCTGGAATGAATACTCCTTATGAAAAGAGATCCTATCCATCTTGTATGATGCAGAGTGAGTATTCAGTACACATTTGAGGAGCAAATGAATTGGTATCTAACATCTGTAACTTGAGGTCATATTCCCAGAAATAAGCATTAAATCAGTAATCTGTACTTACAGTATTATGACTTGTGAATATTCCTCATGGCTGAGTTTACAGAAAGTTTCTCAAACTCCTTGCTTACCTTAGAGGTAATAATTCTCCCTTTTCTTTTCTTGGAAACACCCTTTCTAGAGCCGTCAGCACAATGAATGGAAATACTCACCCCCAACTCCATCTCTGAAATGTAATGCTCTTGAAGATAAAAAGAAATCCTGAAAACTTCCTGAGGTGGGGGAGACATCAAATAAGCAGGATTTGGAAAATGGCTTCAGATTTTTCAACAATAACACAGACAGCAGAAAAACAAAGGAGCACTGCCTTCAAAATTACCTGGGAAATGATTTCCAACTTAAAATTCTCCCCAACCAAACTTTTAATCAAGTATGAGGGTAGAATAATAGCAGTTTGCATTATTATGCAAAAGTCTAAAAAAAAAATTAACCCCTATGGCATCTCAAGGAGCTATTGCAAAGTATGCTCCATAAAACAAGAAGGAAGAAGAAATAGGATCTAGGAAACAGGGAATCAACCCAGGAGTAAGGGGAAGTGGGGTACCAGGATGACAACTCTGCAGCAAGTCAAGAGAGGAACCAGCTCAGATTGAGATAGTAAACTGGACAGCTCTAGCAAGATAGATGATAGCTAGCTAGATAGCTAGCTAGCTAGATAAGTAGATAGATACACACTACCTGAAATATTGACTGATGCTTTTGAATGCACTGAAAGGTTTACATGTCTTACAGAAAATTTGACTATAATCATTACAGAGAACACCAAAGCAAGCAAACAAACAAGCCAGAGGTAGGGAAAGGGAGATAATTACTATCCTTAGGATAAGCGTGACGTTTACAAGAAATAAAACAAAATCATAGAATAACATAAGCTCAGTCATGAATAATATACATAAGATAATGTGTAAATGCTGATTATTGATTTAAAGCTTGTGATATGGGGACAACTATAATAGTATCAACAAAAATAAAGAAAAAACAGAAAGCAAGAGATTCAAATAAAATGTTACAGAACCCTCCAGACCTACCCTGCAGCCACCTCCCATGTTAATCAAATAACTGTGTTGTGATATAACTGTGTTGAGAGGAAGGGTACAGAAGGATGCTTTTTGAGAATGTGTGGGGTTAAAGATAAAATTTCCTTTTCCATACTAGAATAGCATCCAAGGTAGAAACATCAGGAAACAGTGTATGGGCATGCTATTTAGAAATGTGGGAGTACGCCCAGCTGGTATTGCTCAGTGGCTGACCCAGGAATCAGGAGGTCACAGTTCAATTCCTGGTCAGGGCACATGCCAGGTTTGGCTTGATCCCCAGTATGGGGCATGCAGGAGGTAGCCAATCAATGATTCTCTCTCATCATTGATGTTTTTTTAAAAAAATATATTTTATTGATTTTTTTACAGAGAGGAAGGGAGAGGGATAGAGAGTCAGAAACATCGATGAGAGAGAAACATCGATCAGCTGCCTCCTGCACACTCCCTACTGGGTATTTGCCCGCAAGGAAGGTACATGCCCTTGACCGGAATAGAACCTGGAACCCTTGAGTCTGTAGGCCAACGCTCTATCTGTCCACTGAGCCAAACCGGTTAGGGCTCATCATTGATGTTTTTATCTCTCTTCCTCTTCCTTCCTCTCTGAAATAAAAAATATATATATATATATTTAAAAAAAGAAAAAGGAAAATGTGGAAGTAAATACCAGGAAAAAACTGTTGAAAGAATTAAAAATGCATATTCCTGGAATGTGGACTTGAGGAGGGGCTGGACAGAATGTGGGGATACATGGGACAGACTGACAGCTGTCAGAGGGGAGGTGGGTTCTGGATGAAAGACGATGAAGGGATTACCCAAGGAGCATATATGCATAACCCATAGACACAGACAACAGTGTGGTGATGGCCAGAAGGAAGAGGAGAGGGGTGGGGCTGGGTAGAGGAGGGCAAAGGAGGTGGTAATGGGGACATCTATAATTGTGTCAACAATAAAAATAAAGAAAACCGAAAACAAGAGATTCAAATAAAATGTTGTAGAACCCTAGACCTACCCTGCAGCCACCTCCCCTGTAATCAAATGCCTGCCAGACAGTCAGAGTTCATAGCTATCATCGCTGGGAAAATTGAGAGGTTGGCCCTCCACGTGGAATTCTGTTAATCCTGGCATCCTAGCTCTCTACACTGATTGTCTCCAGGATTGCACATCAGTCAGGGAGGGAGATGGTGACCTCAACAAGTTCCTTAACTTCCCTGGGTTTCTTCATCTGTTAAATGGGGATGATAAACCTGGCTCAGAGGATGTTGTGAAAAATAATGAAAACGATGCAGAGTTCTGGGCACACAGAATAGCTCAATAACATTAGTTTGGGTAATTATTATTTCCTGAAAACAAACAACCCATTCATCACTAACAGGTGGAAAAGAGGGTGTCTGCCAAAGTGGGCATCATTTGGGGCCAGAAAAGTCTTCCTTGGGCTGACTGCACCCTCCTCTCCTGTTCTCCTACCTCCCTGCTTCGGGGCTCCCTCCTCCTTGGCTCAGGCCAAGATTCGCCAAGAGCTGTGTCCCTTCCTGGGTGATGTCCCAACTCAGCTCTGGAATTGACGCAGGAAGTGGGGCGGACAAGGAGCTAGGTGTTACGCTGAGGCTAGCAGGTGGTGTATCGAGCTCAGATGTTGCAGATTATGACCTGCTGAAGGAGGAGGCACTACCTACTTACGGGATCAACATGACCCAGGGGTAGATCTCTGCATCTAGCTGCCACTTGATTGAAGTTGCTGTTTCACACACCCACACAAACACAAAGGAAGGCTTTTGCTTACAGATGCTAATGTGGGTGTGGGCTGAGTCTTCCCGGTGCAATGCCTAGGGAAGGAGTCCTCTCCCCACCAACAGCCAGCTGGAAGTGGAGAAGAACAGGGTAGCAAACACCTATTCTATACTTGGGGCGGAGATCACTAACTTTCCCAGGGCTGAACTCTTGGTGGTTACTTTTAAACAGTGTCCCAGAAAAGCAAAGCGGGAATTTAGGGCGGTAATCCTCAACTCAAGTCCTTATCTAGATGTCCAGACTCTGGGTCCTGCGACAAACTGTGAAATGCCTAGGCAGCAACTCAGACAAAACCACTAGTGGTTTAACGCATTCCAGTCCTGCCCAGGTCAGCTGGGGTGGGTGGGGCAGCTTATGGTAAAAAGGAGAAGCCAGTCCAGCAGGCTCTCCAAAGTCCCCGCGATGGCTGCCCAGGGCTGCGCACTGTCCTGGATGTCGCTCAGGCTCCCGGCGCTGCTGCTGCTGCTTCTGCTGCTGCTGGCGCCCGGCTTTGCGGGAGCCTCAGGCGCGCGGTGGAGCGGGGAGGGTACCACCCCGCACCTGCAAAGCATCTTCCTGGGCCGCTGCACCGAGTACCTCGCGCTGCTGAACCCCCAGCTGCGGTGAGCTTGGCAGGCAGGCAGCAGGCAGCAGCGGGCGGACCTGGGGGCGCAGAAAGGGAGCGGACTAGGTGGGCAGAAGGGGCAGAAGTGTGCGGGGGGAGGAGGAGGAAGTGGGCTCTCTGGAGGCCAGGAGGTTGTGGGGAGGGAGGACTGCGCTCTAAACCAGGGGCGTGCGGGAAGTAAGGGGTCCTGACGGGAGGGTGGTTGTGTGGGGAGGGTCCGGCTTCTGAAGATCAGGGGAGCCAAGGTTAGGAGAGTCTGGGGGTGACAGAAGTGGAGATCTGTCACATTGCGATGTGGCTTTTTCTTTTATAAACGTGTGTTCCTGCACAGGGACAAGAACTGCACAGACATCTGGGAGGCCTTTCAAGCGGTGCTGGCCAAGGACCCCTGCTCCGTGCTGCCCTCCGACTACGACCTTTTCATAAACCTCTCCAGGCACTCCATTCCCAGAGACAAGGTAACTAAGGCGCTCACGCGTGGCTCTGTCTTTACAGAGGCCAGAGGCGTGAGATTCCCGGTCTCCAGTGTGGCTGAAACATCAGCCACAACCTCCCAGAGCGCTTGCCCTGTGGGGCTCTGGGTGGGAAGGTGGCTTGATCTTCACCAGTGATCCCGGCCTCCTGCCTGCCTGGGCAGAAGGAGATTTCCTGAGTCAACAAGTCAGTGCAGGAGTCACAAGGACATCTGGATGTTGCCACACTCCCGCCCTGGGCTTCCTGTTTTTGTTTTTTGTTAATCCTCACCCACCTGAGGATATTTTTCCATTGATTTTTTAGGGAGAGTGGAAGAGAGAGGGAAAGACAGAGAGAAACATTAATGTGAGAGAAATACATTGATAGGTTGCCTCCTGCACAAGTCCCAACCAGGGTCTGGGCTGGGGAGGAGGTTGCAACCAAAGTACATGCCCTTGACCAGAATCAAGCCCAGGACCCTCTGGTCCACAGTCCAACGCTCTATCCACTGATCCAAACCGGCTAGGGCCAGGGCGGATTCTGGGTGACCTCTGTCCTCACTGACCCTAAGGGCCTGACCTTGAGTAATTCAGAAAGTGCTCAACATCAAGTAGCCTCCCAGAAAACCCATTTCTCCTTTTAATGGGCCTTAAGGTTATATCTCTTCAGTTCCAGTTTAAGAAAACCACATATCTGTACATTCTAATATAATAAATGAATGAAGTAATGTATTTATTTATTCTGGTTAATCCCACCTGAGGATATTTTTCCATTGATTTTTAGAGAGAGTGGGAGAGGAGAGACAGAAAGAAACATTGATGTGAGAGAGACACATTAATTGGTTGCCTCCTGCACGCAGCCCGACCAGGGCCGGGAACCTGCAACCAAGGTATGTGCCTTGACCGGAATCGGACCCAGGACCCTTCAGTCTGCAGGCTGATGCTCTATCCACTGAACCATACCGGCTATGGCGGGAGTTACTTTTGAAATCAGTGGCGGGGAGCCCCTGCAGTCAGCGAGTGTGGTAGCCGTGGTGTATGGTGGGTGCTCTGAGCTGTGGGTGGGCCAGGCTGTGGGCATGGCCATGGTACGGCAGCTCTCTCTGGAGCAGGACATCACCCTTCACAGGGCCTGAAATCGTTTTTTTCACTTGGCATCAACATCACTTTATATCAGAGTGACATTTATCCAGCTGAAACCTTTACTTGAGCTCAGAAATAGGGACTCATCCTTGTTTGTACCACTGATACTGAGTCCATGAAATACCTAAATCATATGATGGAATAATTAAAAGACCTGTTAGGCAAGTGTTCAGTTCAGAAACGTGTGGTAGTCATCTCAAATATTTAAGTAGTGAAGTCCTTGAAAGATGGCAGTTTGATACTGAGGGTACAAGACTGCCAAAGATGACAATACACCCAGAGACAAGCTCTCCAAGGTGAAGTCCGCTTGGCACTCACACAGAACACAACTACAGTGGCATGTCTGCCACTGCTGGGAGCTTCCTGATCTCCACAGGCAAAGTCTTGGCTGTACCTGCAAAGTGGGAAGAGTTGGGACCACAGTTTATAACCAATTCTGAGCAAGTCCCTCTGCCTTCCTTCTGTTCTATAACCCATAAAGTAAGCAGCTCGGTGCCTGACAAAATCCTGTCCATGACTGGAGATGGGACAAGAACAGTAATGGAATTCAAGAACAATGATGGAATTCTCAAATGTGTGTTTCCTGAAACCAAGCCAACTATCGTTCATGTTTTATTTCATTGATTAACTTTGAGATGGGGAAAACTACATTATATTTTACTGAACTGTGCATAATTGTGCCTTTTTTTGGTACCTGTTTGACTTTCCATCAGGTTGAAATAATATTTTTGGCCACTGTTCTAAAGGGAATCAGCAGGTTACATCAGCACTGTAATGTCGATTCCTTTGAAGATAGTAACTGTAGATGGAAAACTTGCTATAAAGCTAAATGCCTGCCTAAATTAGATCTTTTGGTCATGTAGCTTGACTCAGAATACAGGTAAATATGAAACACAGCAAAAGATGTCTGAATATTCAGAATCTTTATTTAGGTCCTAAAGTAACTGACAATCCGCAATCACAAAACATTCCTACTAGGTCCTTTTTGCCATTTGTTTCATTTGAATGGTTTCCATATTGAAAAAATCTCCAATTATTTGATTTTAGTGTATATAATTTATACTTACAAAGCTATCGCTATTTCTACTCTTTAAATTCCCGTAGTACAAAACTCTTAAAAATGCCTTTTTTGTGATTTATAAAATCAGGCTTTAAATGACAATGATAAAGTTAAATGTGTATATTTAAAAAAATAATAATTAAGAAAAGTGGCCTAAAATGTTTTCCTTGAACAGTGCCTTGAGTTTAAGGACTGTTAGAGAGCATTTTTATTTCTCTGACATAATAATAATTCTTTTTTAAAAATGTCTATTTTATTGATTTTTTACAGAGAGGAAGGGAGTGGGATAGAGAGTAAGAAACATTGATGAGAGAGAAACATCAATCAGCTGCCTCCTGCACACTCCCTACTGGATATGTGCCCGCAACCAAGGTACATGCCCTTGACTGGAATCGAACCCGGGACCCTTGAGTCCGCAGGCCGATGCTCTATCCATTGAGCCAAACCGGTTAGGGCCGACATAATAATTCTTAACTTGATTTTTAATTGTAAGTCAGTTAACATTGATGGTTACAAATGAAAAAAATCTTAACACTAATTTTTCCCTCTGTAAAAGAGGTAAATGGAGCCAGGAGGTTCAGAGATATAATAGACCAAAACCATGATTTTTAAGTATATGTTGAACCTTGCTGCTTCCCTGACAGTAAGGAGAGGAGCCATAAATTTTGTTCTCCTCTCTTGTCGATTTTGGTTCTAGTTGATGAACTCAGTAAGTATTTACTGAGCTACTTCCATGTGCTGGGCATTGTGCTAAGGGTTTCGGATGCATCAGAGAACAAAACAGCCCTGCCCTCAGGGAGCTTCCTGTCTAGGCAGAGACCAGTTGGACTACTGAGGATCTGATGAGATAATGAGTGAGCAGGGTGTTGCCTTTTATCTTATTTTTATGTGAAAACAGTATAACTTTGTTTTCTTTTTTAAATTTTATTTTTCAATTACAGTTGACATAATATTTTATATTAGTTTCAGGTGTACAGCATAGTGGTTAGACAATCATGTATTTTATAGAGTGATCCCTCAAGTACCCACATAGATAGATATTGTACCATACATAGATATTACAATATTATTGACTATATTTCTTTTGCTATACTTTACAGCCCTGTGACTATTTGTAACCACCAATTTGTACTTCTTAATCCATTTATCTTTTTCGCCTAGTTCCCCAGCACCCCTCCCATCTGTCTGTTCTCTGTATCTATGAGTCTGCTTCTGTTTTGTTTGCTCATTTGTATTATTCTTTAGATTCCACATATAAGTAAATTCATATGGCATTATCTTTCTCTGTCTGACTTATTTCACTTAGCATAACACCCTCTTGGTCAATCCATGTTGTCGCAAATATTTTATAAATTGTTATAGGTACCACCTCTTCTTTATCCACTTATCTACTGATGGGCACTTGGGCTGCTTCCAAATCTTCACAGTTGTGAAATAACATTGCAGTGAACATAAGAGTGCATATATCTTTTTGAATTAGTGTTTTGTGTTTCTTCAGATACTTTTCCAGAAGTGGAATTGCTGGGTAAAACTACTATAACTTTATAGTGAGAATATTGCAGAATCATCTTCCAAAATTCAGGTTTTATACCCGCTGCTCTAGTAACACAAACATTGAAACACTGGTGCGTGGAGACAGAGAAAGGTTTATTCGATTTTTCGAGGGTGTCCAAGAGAGCAAGATCTCGCAAACCCATCTCTCCCCAAAAGCACAGCGTGAAGTTTTTCTGCAGCTCGGGAGTAGGGGATGGGTAGTTCCGGGGAACTGAGAGAGAAGTCTGTTTCTTTAGTCACAGATAACATTTTGTGCAGCCAGACTCCTGGGTGGCAGCAACTCATCATCACTGCTTGGAGGCATTCTTTCCTTCTGCAAGGCAAACTCATAAATTTCCAACAGGACCCTGAAGTCATCATCTCCTGCTTGACAACGAAACCCCACCCCAGCAACTTAGGACACATTCGTAAGAAGAGAAGAGCAGTTAATGTGAACAAAGGCCTAACCAGGAATTAAATTAATTAATTCTAACTGCCCCCGAAATGAGGGGCACTAAAATCACCTGGGGTTCAGCGACAGGAACTATAAAGTATACTATAAAAGGAATATATTGCATAGCATCCTAAACACAGCTGTGGAAGAAGAGGCGGGGCTCACGCTCTCCGTTTTCCAGATGTGGAAGCTGAGGCACAGGGAGAGAATGCCTTGGTCAAAATCACATATCTAATTTATCACAAACCCAGGTCCCTTGATCTTCTTTTAAATCCAGGGGTCTTCATACACACATGGGCACACACACACTGTATTGTACTACTGGGAAAATATTTCACTAACATTTGCAGGATACCCTTGGACTAACAGGAAGAAATTAAGACCAAGAAAGGAAAGTGCATTTGCTGTGAGGCAGGTCAGAGTTGAATAAGAAATGGGTTGCCTGACTGAGCTTGATGGCATTGTGCCTGAAAAAAGTTTGTTTAGGTTTCATTTTATATTTGAGTGTTGCGTTTGTTTTTTCGTAGTCCCTGTTCTGGGAAAATAACCAGCTCCTTGTAGCCAGCTACTCGGAGAAGACCCGTCGCTTCATGCCTTTGGGCGATGTTCTGTACGGCAGGATTGTGGATTTTCTGATCTGGTGTCGGCAGGAAAATGCCTCTGGTAAGACTCCTGCACAACACACAAGACAAATAAGAGTTCTTGCCTAGCCAGTGTGGCTCAGTGGTTGGGGGTCAACCTATGAACCAGGAGGTCACTGTTGGATTCCTGGTCGGGGCCCATAACTGGGTTGTGGGCTCAATCCCTAGTGTGGGGCGTGCAGTAGGCAGCAGATCAATGATTCTCTCTCATCATTGCTGTTTCTATCTCTCTCCCCCTCTCCCTTCCTCTCTGAAATAATAAAATGGAATAGTTGTTTCTTTCTTAAAAAAAAGAAAAAGAAAAAGAAAAATAAGAGTTCTTGCTTACTAGGCACTTGCCATTTGTGCTAAATGCTTTCATATGCATTTACCTCATTTCCTTCCCCCCCCACCACCAATCCTCTGAAGTAGGTGGCAATAATAACAATCACCATAGCAGATAGCATCTATCTTTTGATGGGTATGTCCTAAGCACTTTATGTATATTAACTTGCCGTAGACCAATTCCAGCATGTCATACAAGAATTTCATCAAAAGGTTGATGAAACTTGGGGACTCAACAGGGTTGAGTCACAGATGTAGTCATCTGTTGGGAATGGCTAAAGACATTTCCCCAAAACAGCTGTAGGCTATTCCCCAAACTGACAATGCCTCTGTACCTTTTGAAACCTTACCCTTTGAAGTGTATTATCTCCACCTTGCCTTAGGACAAATTGTGTTAATAAAAGCAAGGGTCCTAGACAAGGAGGCTCTCTTCAGTTCCTTTAGCTGAAGGTCCTCTGACCCCCAATGCCTTTCAAAATTATAACTCGTCTCTGGACTCTTTATTAGTCTCTGGATTTCTATGTCATCTACGTGCAGCCCCCTTTCCAGATTCCTGAACCCTTCTTGATGCTGGGACATGAACCCCGGCAATTAACTAGTTTAATCCCCATGGGACAGGACCAATCCTAATTCATATTTTGACAAATAAGGAAATTGAGGCACAGCAAGGTTAAGGAACTTGCTCAGGGGTGCACAGCTAGGAAGCAGCAGAGTCGGACAGCCTGACTCCAGAGCACGTGCTCCCCACCCTGCACAACTGAGTCTCACTCTCCTCATTTTCCAGAGGGGAAAGCTGAGGCTTAGGGAGGTTAAATCACTCGAAGAGGGAGAGATCAGGATTCAACCCTTTCTGAAAGATCTGAGGCCTGGGCTCTGAAATGCCTCTCCAGGCCTCCAGCAGGTATTTCCAGATTAAAATCACAGTGAAAGTTAAGGTCAGGAGGACTGACCTGCGAGTAGGGACAGCTCTCCTCCTCCATCCAGCTCCCCTGCTAGGAGCTGGCAGCATAAAGCCTCCCGACCCTCAGGGAGCTTATAGCCTTGAGAGGGAACTTTACTCATTATCGAGTGCTAGGACACAGGCAGGGCTGGGCTCCAGGGAGGAGCAGAGTGAGACACCAGCCAGACCAGGGTGTCCAGGAAGCTTCCAGGAGGCTCTTGGCTCTGGGTGAGTCTCAAAGGACAAGCAGGAGCAAGGCCAGCAGGGAAAGGAGGTGGGGGAAGGTGTTTCCTCTCAGAAGGCTAGAGATTCTTCCTCCCTGGGTATTAGATATGTTTTAAATGTTAACCTAAGCACAGTTCTGCTTATTTTTCTCCATTCATTCTTTCATTCATCCATCCAACTAGAAGCCATAGAGTGCCTACTCTGTGCCAGGACCTGGGAATATAGCACAGAATCAAACAGAAAAATAATACCTCCCACTTTTTTTTTATTTTTTACAGAGAGGAAGGGAAAGAGATAGAGAGTTAGAAACATCGATGAGAGAAACATTGATCAGCTGCCTCCTGCATACCCCCTGCTGGAGATGTGCCTGCAACCAAGGTACATGCCCTTGACCAGAATCAAACCTGGGACCCTTTACTCCGCAGGCCGATGCTCTATCCACTGAAGGAGAGGGAGAGAGAGATAGAACATCAATCATGAGAATCATTGATCGGCTGCCTCCTGCATGCCCTACACTAGGGATCAAGCCCACAACCCAGGCATATTCCCTGATCAGGAATCAAACTGTGACTTCCTAGTTCAGTGATGGCGAACCTTTTGAGCTTGGCATGTCAGCATTTTGAAAAACCCTAACTTAACACTGGTGCCGTGTCACTTACATAAATTTTTGATATTTTCAACCATAGTAAAACAAAGACTTATATTTTTGATATTTATTTTATATATTCAAATGCCATTTAACAAAGAAAAATCAACCAAAAAAATGAGTTCGCGTATCACCTCTGACACGCGTGTCATAGGTTCGCCGTCACTGTCCTAGTTCATAGGTCGACACTCAACCACTGAGCCATGCCAGCTGTGATAAAACCCATTCTTAAATTATAGAGGGGCAATAAGACAATAGACAGGCAAGTAAAATATATAGCCTTGCATAAGATTATAAGGACTACAGAGAAAAACAAAACAAGGGAAGAGGATGGAAGTGCTGGGCAGGGGGATGAGGGGAGAGGAAAGTGTCTCAGTGTCACATAGGCCCAGGGAAAGCCTCACCCCTCACGAGAAGCTGATATTTGAGCAAAGCCTTTAATAAAGGAGATGAGGAAGAGCATTCATGACAGAGTGAACAGCAGGTGCAAAGGCCCTGAGTTGGGGGTGTGTCTGGCATATTTAAGCATAGCAAGGAGGACAGTAAGTAAAGAGTGAAGTGGGGCAGTCTTGTGGGACCGAGCCCTTAACCCGTGGTGTCTATGCTAACTCTGCATGGTTAGTGTCTGAACTAAATTGAATTGTGGGACCCCCAGCCTGGAGAGTTTGGAGAAGTGATTGTTGTCAGAAGTGTTGAGAGGAAAGCAGCTCAGAGAAAGTGTCCCAGAAAAATCACAGGTTATTCCCCACCTCTCTGATTCGATCGATGCCATCTTCTAAGGGGTCTTTGTTTAAAAAGGAAGTGAAGCCCAGAGTTTAGGATCAGAAAAATAATGCTACGTTCATGTCATGGTATCTCGTGGAGCTATGAACAATGATGGTCTGGCTTTGTGTCTGTTGATCTGGTGAGGTGTTTGTGATATATTTTTAAGTGAAAAAAATCAAGTTAATTCAAATAAAAAATATACACACAAATACATATGAAATTATACACATGAAAAAAACTCAAGAAGATATCAAACCCAAACTGTTCTTGCTAGGAATTTGAAGTCATACATTTTTTATTTTTTAGTATTTATTTTTATTGATTTCAGGGAGGAAGGGAGAGGGAGAGAGAGAAACATCAATAATGAGAGAGAATCATTGATCAGCTGCCTCTTGCATGTCACCTACTAGGGATTGACCGTGCAACTGGACATGTGCCCCAACCAGGAATCGAACTGTAACCTTCTAGTTCATAAGTCAATGCTCAACCCACTGAGCCACGCTGGTTGGGCTGAAGTCATACATTTTTTTCTTATCCATATTTACTTCAGTTTTTGTTTTTTTAGTTTAGATAATAAACTATTTTTTAAAATATGTTTTTATTGATTTTTAGAGAGAGAGGAAGGGAGAGGAGTAGAGAGTTAGAAACATCAATGAGAGAGAAACATCATTGATCAGCTGCCTCCTGCTTGCACCCCTACTGGGGATTGAGCCTGCAAGCTGGGCATATGCACTGACCGGGAATCGAATCGCCAACCTCTTGGTTCCTGGGTCAGTGCTCAACCACTAAGTCATATTGGCCAGGCTAGAATAAACTATTTTTAATGAAGAGAATTCTTCAACTAGATAAATTATCATTAATAATACTCACCAGTTGTCCATAGTTTAAGAGCAAGAAAGTATAAAACAGGAAAATACAGAAATTACTTTTGGGACAAATACCACCTAAAGCCGTGGCTGTCAGAAATGGTGGGAGGAGCAGTGGCAAGCCAGAGAGTTTGATTCCGATCCTCCGTGCCATGTACCATCCCTGGGACCTCTCTGAGGCTCAGAGATCTCTGAGAAATTTAGTCTCTGACCTGCCCCCATGATAACCAGAACTATGTTCAAGACTAGAGTGTGTAATTTACATAAGTAATTACCACTTTCTTATACTGATCCTCTCTTGAGTTAAGCAATGGGCCTTGCACCTTAACAACATTACAGGTGATCACGTTTGCACCTCCCTGAACACATCGCCTGCCTTCAGCGACACATTGTGTCCTGCTTGGTTCTCCCTGGAACAACTTGTCAATTAGCATGTTCCTTTTTTTTTATTTGTTTGTTTTTTAATAGAGTATATAGTGAACAAATATCATATATATATCTACTGAATTATGTCCTTAAAGTTAATACAATTTAATATATTTGAACATGTTATGAAATGTCTATTTTCTGGCTAAGACTATCACTTTCTGTTTTTCTTGTATTTACTTCCAAACAAGGGCTAATTGGAGAAGGTACTTCTTCCAGTGAAGCAAAGTTGTATGTGGGTTTTTTAAATCCCTTTACTAGCATTCCAGTAGAGAATAACCCAGCTCACATGCTGGCGGCTGGTCAGGCTCACTCATTAGCCAGCTGCTCAGCTCTTCGCCTTCCTCGCATCTGCGCCGAGCAAGATGATGTGTCTCCATATCACGCATTGGGAGGACACTCACCAGGCTCCTGTGGATTGGGTGGGCAGAACTGTGACTGCTCAGCTCGAGCACATTGTGCAGAACACAGGATAAAAATATTTTTCAGAGCCAGAAAATACCTTTAGTTAATTCTTCCCAATATCCTCTTTGAAATGAAATGTGTTTGTTTTCCTCCTAGGACTCGATTACCAATCATGCCCTGACTCAGAGGGTTGTGAAGACAATGCTGTGGATTCTTTCTGGAAAAGGGCATCCATGCAGGTAATCCTGGGGTGCACGGCTAGGGGCTGGGCACAGCAGGGACCCCCGAGCATGGGACAGAGGAGGTCAGAGACGTTCCGAGACTGGGCCATCGGGTCATCACGTACCTTCTTAGAGCCTCACTTTCCACCTTTTCAGGACTCTGATTTAGTCTCTTTTCTCCATAAAGTTGTGTGGACTTGAGCTTAACATAGCACAGAGATGTTCAATTAGTGTTCATCAGAGATGAGGATATATATATATTTTTTTTATTGCTTAAAGTATTACAAAGAGTATTACATATGTCTCCTTTTTCCCCCCCCCGCCCTTGACAATCAAATAGTCGTTATTGCTGTCAGGTGGTGGTGGTTGTTAGGATTTCAAATCAATGTGATTAATATATATATTTCAGGGAGGAAGAGAGAGGGAGCGAGAGATAGAAACATCAATAATGAGAGAGAATTATTGATCGGCTGCCTCCTGCATGTCTCCTATTGGGGATTGAGCCCTCAACCTGGTCATGTACCCTGACCGGGAATCAAATTGTGACCTCCTGGTTCATAGGTTGATGCTCAACCACTGAGCCACTCCAGCTGGGCTCGAATAATTGTGATTTTGATTGATATATAAAATAGAGTGGCCCCTACTTTCTGGGAGGCCCTGGGACACCTGATATCTAGATGTGGGAGTCAGAAATGTCTCTAAGACTGATGCCCGTGGGAGAGGAGGTGAGAGAGGACTGAGGGCAAACTGGAGATCCAGAAATGGTCTCCTTGAGGGAAGTCTATTCCTCAGAGAATGTGTCACCAGGGGTGATGGTCGTCATCAGTAGCTATTAAATGCCAGTGAGTACAGTTCACATGTTCTCCCACCAGGTTGGAACAAATATTAGAAATTAATGAGGGTTAAGTCTTTAGCTCTGTGCATGGCAAAGAGCCGTCTAATATTAAATGTTCCCTGTATTGACTAGTTGGCCCACGGACTTCAGGGTCCCCTGACCCATCGCTGCCAACCAACCCCCTTTCAGGGCTATCTGTGTCTCTTTGGGTCCCATTTCCTGCTCTGCATTCCCAGGTGTCCACCAGGTCCATTGTTAATCAGGGTAAGAGGGACTTTGGTCAAATCCTCCACCACAGGTGCCATTGGGAGCTAAGCAGAGGGCCTGCTCTGGACAAATGCATTATATATTCATCCAGTGCTCTCCAGGCAGCTCCAATGGGAGCCCTGTGTTTGAAATGAAATGTGTTGAAATAGCCACTCCCCATAAGCTCTGCTTTGAGTACAGGCTCCAGGCAGTTTGCTATGGATGCGTTGTCACCTGGACGTGGATCATAAGGGCAACTCAGGGCACATGCAAGAATCAACCAGGAAATGCATGTATAAGTGGAACAACATATCGATGTCTCTCTCTTTCTCTAAAAACATATATATAATCTGTCCATTTCATAGCTGAAAAAAGACTCATTTCTTCTTGCAGTATGCACAGGACAGTTCTGGGGTGATCCACGTCATGCTGAATGGTTCAGAGCCAACAGGAGCCTATCCCGTAGAAGGGTAAGAACGCCAGCACCAACCAATACAGCAGAGATGCCAAAATGTTTATCCAGTTGATTTGGAAGGAGGCTTATGAGAATGGTCCTAATCCCCAACCTAAGCAAAACCATTGAAAGACCTGGAGATCAGATATACTAGTATGTTTATCCAGTTACACCATTAACAGATGATGAATGCATGAATGAAATAAGTAACCTAAAAAGTTAAAGCTAAAAAATAGCCCCCAAAGACTTGAAAAAAAAAAGTATTGTGTAACTCAGCTAACATTGAAATGGCAAAAGTATCATATTGCTTAAGGACTTTGAGAAATGTCTTTCCTGTTTTTCAGGTTTTTTGCAGATTTTGAAATTCCCTACCTCCAGAAGGATAAAATCACACGAATTGAGATCTGGGTTATGCATGAAATCGGGGGACCCAACCTGTAAGCTATGGTGCTCTTGGGGAGGGTAATCCTGCAAACCTGCTTTTCCCAGAGGGGATATTCTTTTTTTTTTATTTTTTTATTTTTATTTTTTATTGCTTAAAGTATTACAAAGGGTATTACATATGTGTCCCTTTTTTCCCCCCACCCTTGACAGTCCCCTAGCCCCGGAGGGGATATTCTTGTCTGTTTTGCATTTTCATTTTTGGGAAAACAATAGTCTCTTTTAGAGAGAGGAGGGAGGAGAGAGAGAGAGAGAGAGAGAGAGAGAGAGAGAGAGAGAGAGAGAGAAGAGAAAGAGACCTGTTGCACTTAGGCATTCATCGGTTAATTCTTACATGTACCCTGACCAGGGATCAAACCTGCAGCCTTGGTGTATCAGGATGATGCTCTAAGCAACTGAGCTACTGTGCGCCCAGTAAAGTGAGGCAGGGCCCTGCCTTTGATATGAATATGAATACCATGCCTGTTGAGCACACCTGTTTGCCTTGATACACCCCACCCCCTGCTTAATCACAAAGCGGGCCAGCAAGAACCCCTGTTGATGAAAAAGTGGGGAAGTGGACACCTCATACTCTGCTGGGGTGATTAGCTTGGGGTTCACTGTGGTGGTGCCTATCAAGAGCCTTAAAATGCATTCAAAAGCTTGGTACCAGAAAACCTACTTTTAGCACTTTATGCGTAAGAAACAAATAATGAAGGATGTGTATAAAAATTAAACTTTATCAAGGTTTGTTGTAGTGTGCATGAGATTGAAATATATGAATGAACTTGATCTTTAAGAGGTGTCTGGTTTCAGGGATTATGTTCCAATTATGGAAGGGAGAGGACATAGGAATTAAAAACAAGGGCAGGCATGTATGTATGTCCACAGACAAGGGCAAATGCAGAAAACGAAATGCACGGACAGCAGAACTCCACTGTTATATTTCAAATCTCATGGGAATAAGTATATTTAAAAGGTCTAGAATGACATTCATCAAAATATTAGCAGCAGTTACCTCTGGTGATGTAAGATTTCTTTTTTCTTCCCTTTTGTTTATTTGCACTTTCTTTTTTTTTTTTTTAAATTAAATCTTTATTGTTCAGATTATTACATTTGTTCCTCTTTTTTTCCCCCCCTTAACTCCCCTCCTCCCAGTTCCCACCCCACCCTCCGCCCTCACTCCCCACCCACTGTCCTCATCCATAGGTGCACGATTTTTGTCCAGTCTCTTCCCGCATCTCCCACACCCCTTTCCCCCCCCCAGGAATAGTCAGTCCATTCCCTTTCTATGTCCCTGATTCTATTATAATCAACAGTTCATTCTGTTCATCAGATTATTTATTCACTTGATTCTTAGATTCACTTGTTGATAGATGCATATTTGTTGTTCATAATTTGTATCTTTACCTTTTTCTTCCTCTTCCTCTTCTTAAAGGATACCTTTCAGCATTTCATATAATCCTGGTTTGGTGGTGATGAACTCCTTTAGCTTTTCCTTATCTGTGAAGCTCTTTATCTGACCTTCAATTCTGAATGATAGCTTTGCTGGATAAAGTAATCTTGGTTGTAGGTTCTTGGTATTCATCACTTTGAATATTTCTTGCCACTCCCTTCTGGCCTGCAAAGTTTCTGTTGAGAAATCAGCTGACAGTCGTATGGGTATTCCCTTGTAGGTAACTGAGTTTCTTTCTCTTGCTGTTTTTAAGATTCTCTCTTTATCTTTTGCTCTTGGCATTTTAATTATGATGTGTCTTGGTGTGGTCCTCTTTGGATTCCTTTTGTTTGGGGTTCTCCGCGCTTCTTGGACCTGTAAGTCCATTTCTTTCACCAGGTGGGGGAAGTTTTCTGTCATTATTTCTTCAAATAGGTTTTCAATATCTTGCTCTCTCTCATCCTCTGGCACCCCTATAATTCTGATGTTGGTGCGCTTGAAGCTGTCCCAGAGGCTCCTTACACTATCCTCGCATTTTTGGATTCTTTTTTCATTTTGCTTTTCCGGTTGGGTGTTTTTTGCTTCCTCGCATTTCAAATCATTGACTTGATTCTTGCGCTCCTCTGGTCTGCTGTCGGGAGTCTGTATAATATTCGTTATTTCAGTCCATGTATGCTTAATTTCTAGTTGGTTCCCCAATATAAGATCGAGGGTCTCATTAGTTTTCTTGTAGATCTCATTAAGTTTATCGGCGGCTTCTAAACAGTTCTTGAGAGACCTTAAAAGTGTGGTTCTGAACTCTATATCTTCCATTGACAATTTTGTCCTGTTTCTTTGTCTCCGCATTTTGTTATGCTTCCTTGGTGCACCCCCTAGTGGTCTTTGTTCGCAGTCTTATAGTTAAATCTTGATTGTTGCAGCTAATTCCAGGGAGGGTTTGACCTCCAGGCCAAGTGGCTATGAGAATCAGCTGTGTCTGCAATGAGAGAACTTCTGTCCTCTAGGGAGGTGCTAATCTAGCCTTTGCCTGAGGCTATCCGGCAAATGCCTCAGTGCAGGGCTTGGGCGGGGCGGGTCGAACAGGATCAACAGGGCGGGCCGGAGAGAGCAGTTATGGCGGCTCTCAGTCCTGTCCCCAGGGGCTCTGCCTCTCCGAGTCCCAGCACCCGCTGCAAAGCTCAGAGAGAAAGCTGCACTCGCTCTGACCGAAGCCAGACAGTCCCGCTTCTCCCGTTTGAGTCTGGGTCGCTAAAGACTCGCCCGGATCTGGAGCTCAGAGTCTGCGACTCCCTCCCGATTGAAAACGCCAACCGCGCCCTCCGCCGCCAGCCCGCTCCGCACACTCCGCACCTCAGAATTTGACTTCAGCACTGCGCCTCCTCTGAGTGTCCGTATGCGTTTCTCTTTCCTCCTAGTTGTAGGACTTCCACTCAGCCAGCGTTCCTGTGGTTCTGGGTGATGTCCCTTCCGTTTTTTGGTTTCACTTTTGAAGTAGTTGTTCAAAGCAGCAAACTCCGGCGTTACCTATGCCGCCATCTTGGTTCTCCTGCACTTTCTAATGTTTTTTGAATTGCATGTTTTGTTGCCATATAAAGCTTAACTTAATACACTGTAGGTAGGACAATTGGCAGTTGGCACTGGTCAGGGGCACTTCACAGAGGACTGTTGGTGGGTGGGGCCAAGAAACCCTGTGACGCACCTGGCACCTGCGCATGAGCCTGCAAGGCCCTCGTGGGGCACTTGACATGCAACCTTTGGACTGGGTGTTGGGTGCTCAGAGCAGCCCCTTTGGGGTACTGAGGGGTTACTGCAAGCAGCACTTTTGGGTCCAAATATTTCTCCAGAAGAGGAGACTATCCCAGAAGCACATGGCCAAAATACATTTTAATTAACCTAGAAAAGACACCTTCCATCCTCTTATTTTGTATTTCTGTGTTTGTGTTTTAGGGAATCCTGTGGAGAAGGCAGTGTGAAAATCCTGGAAGACAGACTGAAGGGGATGGGTTTTCAGTACAGCTGTACTAATAATCACCTGTACGTGTCATATTATCATCGGTGCAGATAATCGGTGGAGATAACAGGTTTTGGAGGGTAGGGGGTTGTTGAAAGGCATCAGCTCTGAAGACCAAGGGACCGTGCCTTCTGGGTTGTCACTGGGTGGGGGGAAGGTAGGTGCCTTCTGGCCAGGGTTCTGCCTGGCTCCACCCACTTCGGTCCAGAGCCCTTTTTAATTATGGAAGGACAGAGGGAACAGCCCTTTCTCATTTGCACATATCCAGTTTGCCCTTCACCTGTGAAGGCACAGTGAGTAACCTGTGAACAGGAAGCATGGTGCCTATACCTTTAAGTGCCACACACCTGTGGGGTCCTTCCCCATGAGAGGTGCTAAGGTGGAGTGTGTCTGAGATACTTGCAGGCAGGTACATCTTGACTGTAGGCCAATAGGAAAATAGTACTAGCTACCGTTGAGTGAGCGCATTGTGGGCCAGAAACTTTATGTACTTAAAATCAGATATTGTTTGCGGGCATTCCTGATTCTTGGAAATGTAGATGAGTTTGGCTCAAAGCCTGGGAGAGTGGGAAGCCCTGCCTTCAACTGGGAATTTCTCACCTATGTCTGCTCCCTGCTTGGTTCCTGGAGACTGGAGTCCAGCACTTCAAGGCTTAGTGGCTCTCCCCAACGTCTGAGGGTGTGGCAGGGTGCCAGTTACCTCTGCATCTCCTCTAGTGCCCACAGCCGTCCAGCTGGCTCTGCCACCCTCCGCCTTCTCAAGGACGCCAGGGGCTGGGTAATCTTCCCATTCGAGCGAAGCCCCTGGAAGTGTGGATCTCTCCCAACCCCTGCCTCCCCAGGAAAATGAGTCCCCCAAAGCTGTTCTCTTAAACCCACAGCTCGAAGTTGTCCATTTTATTCATCTATTGTTGTTAATGCTTTCAGTAAGCTCAACAGTCAGCTGTTGTTACCACCCAAAGGCATGTGAAAGCTAATAATCTTTTTTTAAAAAAATATAACATATATACAGAAAAATGCACAAACCATAGACATCCAGTTGAATGAATTTTCACAAGTTCAACATACACGTGTAACCAGCACTCAGACCAAGAAACAGAATGAAACTGGGACCCCAGTGCCTTCCCTGGCTTCCCTTTCAGTATCTCTCTAAACGAGCAAGGTCATGGGTTGATTTTGGCTGTTTTAAAGCTTTATACAAATAGCCCCATTTTATGGATGTGCAGAGTAAGGATCAGAGAGGTTAAGTTTCCCAAGGTCACCGTTCAGTGGCAGGCAGACCTGAGTTTTGAACCCAGCATTGTGTGGCCTTGAAGTGTGCTCTTCCTTTCTTCCTACTGTAGGACTCTTCTTTCTTCATGCACCAAATTTTAGTAAATTTTGTACAAGTTATTTCTTATTTTAAAACAGCTCAAGGGTGGAGAAAATTGTGGCTAAAAATTTCACATTCATGGCCACTTTGCTTTGGTTCAGGAACGTCAGAGGAGGCTGTCTTATTTTAAGTCATTGATCCAGGTGGGAGGCCCAGCCAGAGTCCAAGTTCTCCTTCCTGGCTCACAACTGCCCTCAGGGTCTCAGCCTGTTTTTATTTCCCCTTTTAGGTCCCCACCTAAGCTGGCCTCAGGGCTGTAGCCTTGAAGCCTGGCCCAGCTCCCATTTCTTTACTGCCCATGAGCTCCGTCAGTGTTCAGGTGGTCTTTGTGTTGCTCCTGGGAGCATAGAGGAGTTAACAGAAAATTTAAATGACAGAGATTAACAAATCAAACTCTAAGCTTCTTGTAAGTGAGAACTCCTGCCCCTCAAAATGTGGGTGACGTAGCCTCTTGCAAATTTTGGCGAGGTCCTATCTTTGCATACCCCGTCTTGCCTCCTGGTTGGTTTCTGCTTAGCACTGTACTGAACCAGACTTAGTACAACTCCATGAGTTTTGGAGGGCACAACACAATAACTACTTTATAAAAAATAGCTGTGTTGTATAGACTGTACTGAAAAGAGGGCATGTCCTCCGGAGGGGTCGTGTAGCATGTCATAGAGTGAACAATGTATTTCCTGTTCACCCGAAGTCCCCTCCAGTCACCCTGCCATGAGAGAGCCTCACTTGGGGCTGCCTCATATCTAATGTCCAGTGTGCCACCTCTGCCTTGCTCCTCTGTTGTCTGCTGTTTCCCTCCCCTCCCAGCTGCTCGGGGACCCCACATCTTCCCCTTCCATGGTACAGAGTAGTTTAGCTTGCTTTGCTGAAGCCTGGACAACAGCCATCATCCATGTGCTTCAAGTCCAACCTTCTGCCCTCATTGACCGTTTTCCCCCAGTAAAATAGCACATCCATGCAGAAGTGAATCCATGCTTGGGCCCCAGAGTGAGCCTGCAAGGTTCAAGTTCAGCTCCCCAGCTTGCTACTGTGAGCATGTGGGCAAGGCCTGTGGACAGCTTTCTCCACTGTAAACTGGAGATGAAAATAGTACCAGTTCTATGTCATTGTTGTGAGGATTCAATGATATATATGTAATTCTCAGTACATAATGCTGGCTAATATTTTTTAAAAGAACCTGTGTTCTTCACAGGTCAGAGACTTTATGTCTCTAGGATTTTGCAGGAACACCACAAACATTTGATGATTGAAAGCCATTTAAACAATCCCTTGCCAGGGAGAGGTCAATGGGGGGAAAAGGAGACTCATGTAATACTTCAAACAATAAAAGGAATTAAACAAACAAAAATGAACCCTTAAATCTTTTCATTCTATAGGCCAGTGAAGCTCTTAATGTGTGTGGACCACAGCACGCATCCTGACTGTGCCTTAACTTCGTAAGTAAATGTCCTAACCTGACCTCATTGCTTCCCCAGGGATACCCAGTCCTTACTCTATAGAACATGGATGAATTGCAATATGACTTGCTAAATGCCGACTGCAGAGTCAGGTTTGCACTTCTTTGGCCTGGTGCGGGCATGACCCGGCTGAACCTAACTCCCACCATGCACTGCAGAGCTGAGCCTGCCCCGGTGCAGCAGAAATTCTAGGAGGACCTTTTAAAATGATTTCTTATTCCTAATATGTTATAAAATTACATACTTTTTTTGGGAAAGGTAACGCATATGCATGGGATGAAATTCATAGTATAAAAAAGTTGAGAAAGAGAGCAATTTTCCTTCCTCTATTCCTAGCCATCCAATTCCCTTACCCAGAGGCAGCCACTACTTCTTTTTTAATTTTTTTCAATTAAAGTTCACATTCAAGACTATTTTGCCACTAGTTCTAATTTTTTGTGTATCCTAAAATATTCTGTGCCTGTAACAACACACACACACACACACACACACACACACACACACACACACACACAAACACACGCATATTTCTCTTATACTGTGCATATAAATGATAGTACACATGGGATTCTACAACTTTCCTTTTCCAGATAATAGTGTATCTGGTGCTGCTTTCATGTCTATGGATGAACCTGCCCCACCCTTTTGAACAGGTCTGTGGTGTTTTGTGGTACGTATGTATCACGACTTACTAACCCCTTACCCATAGGTGAGCATTTAGATTGTTCCCCATATTTAGTTGTCACCAACCATGAAGAAGAGGATGTCTTTTCCCTCTGCTCCATTTCCTCAGAGTAATTTCCTTTAGCATTTTTGGTTCATCTCTTGCCGTATGTCCTCAATGCTCAGGCCTACACATGTGTTACAGATGCAGATGTAAGTTTGCTTCTTTGGTTTTGGTTTGGTCTTATTTCCTTTTTTTGCCTTTGTTTCTGTACAAAAAGCAATCATTCCAGACATACTATTCTGTGGGCTTTTTTCACTCAGCAGTGGAAGGGGGTCCTTCCACGTCTGGTCACGCTCTCCGACTCGGTTTTTCAGTGGCTACAGAGTGGTCTGTAGGAGGGCCACTCCGCCATTAATCGCTGTCTAGTCATAGGCGGACTCATTTGTAGGTGGTAGTTGTTTTGTCGCTATAAACAATGCTGAGGTGCAACCCTTGAGTGTACGCTCTGAGCTCTCGTGAAAGCATTTGCGTAGAACAGATCGCCCGCAATGCACGTGTGTGTAGTTTGAATGCTGATGTTTCTGAGAGGATGCACATGCGTACACACCCACCAAAGTATAAGGTGGGTGCCCCTTCCCCCCGCCCCCCACCCCCGTTGCCAAATGTGAATCCTGACAGTTTTTTTTCTTTTTTCTTTTTTTGTAGCTCAGTGCCTGATTAAGCTTTGATTGCGGAAACATCCACTTCCACAATGGCTGTTTCCAGTGAACAAGCCACCAGCCACAGGACTGAAGAGCCAGCGCCCAGCCCCCTTTGAGTTTCCTGAGTTTTAGAGATCTTGGCTGATTCAATAACTGCTCATTCAGGCCGCTGTTTTCCCTACTTGCTCTCGCTTTAAATCCCCTCTCTTAAGTTTTAAATTCACCAGTAAAGACCGAGTCCCCAAAACCCTAGGCCTTCACCCATGACCCGAGTAAAACAGAACCCCAGACCTGTGTGTGTTCTTACTCTACCCACAACTTCACTGTGTGTCCCAGGTACGCTGGGTAATTTCCAGGTCCTGTAAGTAATAAGCTTTCCCCCCTCAAAGTTCTGTGATGGTTATTGCTTAAGGGCATTTTGCAACCATGAGCAGAACCACAAGGGTTGGCACAGCCACAGTGCTGGATATTGGGAAGCTGAGGCTGGCACAAAACATGGGGATTATCTATGTCTGAATCTGTACCTGTACCTAATTCTAGGTAGACTTACAGGTAAAACAGTGCTTTATTGTCATTTTCATTTGTGTTGGCAGGAAGATATCCCTTTCATTTCTTTCCATCTGCTAAAATCATACTTACCTTTGAGGACCCAACTCCAAATGCCCCTCTCTACAGGGCTTTCCTGAGTCTACAGGTGGATGGAAGAGCTCCCTTCTCTGTACTCCAAGGACTTTGTACTTAGCTTGAAGACAGTACTTCCGCTTTCTAGCCCCGTTACATTACACTCCACACCATCTGTCTGCTTTTCTTGACTTGGATATCGCATCAACGTCCTCTCTGTGTGTCTCATAACAGTTGCACATAGTAGGTGCTCCATGAATGTCTGCTGGATCCATTTGTCCATCCACAAGGGGAAGAGAACTAATCAGGGCTGGACATCAGCGGTGTGCCAGGCATTGTGCTATGTGCCTTGCATAGAATGTTTCCTTCAGCCTTTTAATTGGCCCATCAGACAGAAAGATAGAAACTGCTCATCAGCCCCATACAGCTCTTCTCCCCTTCATTTTGTAGCAGAACTTTTGCATTTTTGATCAGGTTCATGGCTGCCAAGAAAAACGAGTGTCCTTCCTAGCCTCCCTTTCACTGTGGCTGCGTGATGTGTGCAGCTCCTGGGTGAAGCACTGGAAAGGAAGGGAAAGGGAGCCCTTTCCTCCTGGTAGGTGTATGGACCCAGAAGATGTGGTGCTGAGCCATCTCCAAAGGGGCGTGTGCCCTGGATGGGGCTGGAGCCACCCGTGCCGGAAGCCAGTCCATCCTTGCTGCTTGACACAGTCGCTGCAGGAAAGAAACATCTGCACAGCATATGTTTCAAGGGACCTGGCGTATATAGCATACTGTTCTTAATATGTTTTCTCCCCTTAGCGCTGTGTGTTTTAACCAAGGTCATGACCTCTCCGAGAAAGGTTGTTTCCCCAGGTAGGAATTTTTTCCTGAAGTCAGGGAGGGGATGAAACTCCTTAACTAAGTGCCAGGCGGGTAGTTAATCACTACAAACAATCATGCTTAAGCTACATAATCTTTATTCCCTGGAATGGAGATAAGAAACGCCCTAACCTTTGTAATAGAAATTGACAGGATTAAAATCAACTGGGATAAATACGGATGTAACAAGACAATAAACAGCAGAACTTCACTGGAGATCCAGACCAGAACTTGGCTGGAGATCCTGGCTGGAGATCCTGGCTAGGCTGCTGATCAACTGAACACTGTCTCCATGTCCTTCCTTCTTCGCCGACTCCGTCTACACCTTTGGGGACCCCTGGACCCGCTGGGGTTGGACCCCGGCACACCCGGACAGTTACTGAGAGAGAAATGAACATCTGTTGTCTAAGCCATGGAGATTTGGGGTCATTTCCACAGTAACCAAACCTGAATATGAACCAGTGAGGGTAGTTTCTGATATGCTTCTGTCAGAAATGGAGAATCTCTGGTTCAGAGAAGCTACTGAAGCACTCCCTCAAGACCACCCAGCAGCGAGTGAGCCTGAAGCAGTGGTCACCAACTTTTCGGACCTCACGGACCACGGATGGTGACCGCTGGTCTGAAGCAAGTCTGAGGTTTCCAGAGCCCACTCTGGCATATGTACCAGGGATGGCTGGTGAGCTGAAGTCCTATGAATTTGACATGCATAATTTTGGAGTCTACTCATAGGAGATGGACCTGACTTTCTTCACCTGATAAAGAAACCCACCGTCTCATTCCCACTGCTCCAAGACCACCAAAGTCCCCTACCAGCAAACTGCTAGCCTGGCCTTCCAGGTGCTCCATTGTAGGATGGCTTTGATCCACTTCCCTAAAGACATCTTTCTGCACATCTGGGCACACTGACCCTTCAGGTAGAGTAAAAGCACTGCAGTAGGAATCTGGTGATCTCACCCACAAAACTAAAATTAGTGGAAAACATCTCTGAGTCATTGTGAAGATTGAATAAATCAATGTGTATAGAAGCTCTCAACGTCCTTTCTAGACAGGACACTAGCAAGACTCGCTGAGCCTGGGATGGGTGCAGCATTCTAGTTCTTAAAGTTCAAGTAGGGAGCTCATTGGTCGAAATTCTGAGTTGCAGGTATCACACATCAGTCCCAGGTAGTTCAGGGGGAGATGGGATATATATAGTAAAGGGTTTTAGGTCACTCACAGAATCTTTCGAGAGAGCCAGAGAGGCAGGACTGGAGGTCAACCAAAGTTTCACCCAGAACTGCCCCAGGGAAGACCTCACTGCAGCCTGTGTGAGTTCTCAGAGTACTTGTGTTGCTCACATCTGGGTGCTTCTTCTAGAATTTCTGCCTTGGAAAGCTATTGCCTTGGGTACTGCTGAGGCTAGAATGGACCCCGAGTGGCACCTGTTGTTTTAATCCACTGTGTTCACATATATACAGATGTACCCAGAAGTGGGTATATCTGGTCATTAGAGTTTTGGTCACATGTTTTGGCTCTTACCTGCAAAGGAGTTTGGGAAATTGAGTATCTGTGTTAAATTCAGTCTATGGCTTTCAATTTCATCAATATGCTGGTGACTCCAAAATGAATACATGTAGTTCAGGACTTCCACTGAACTCCATACTTGTATATTCAACGGTCTACTCAATAGTTCCCCTTGGATGCTGCATAGATACTTCAAACTCAACACAACCCAAACTGAACTCCTGAATATACCCACAGTGATAGGCTGAGCCATGACATCCAAAGATATCAGTGCCCAATTCCTGAAACCAGTGAATTTTACCTTCTATTTATAGATGAGGCTTTGCCGATGGGATTAAGTGTCTTGAGATCAGGGCTTATCCTGTATTACCCAGGTGAGCCCTAAATGTAATTATAAGTTTCCTTTTAAGATGGAGGCAGAGGGACATTGACCTGGAAGAGGAGAAAGCTGGGTGATAGTGGAAGAGAGATTAAGTGATGCACTTTGAAGATAAAAATCAAGGACTCAGATTCTTCCCTCAGGAGGTCCCTGGGAAGGAGCCAGCCCCACTGACACTGGGTGAAACTGGTTCCTGACTTCTGGCCTCCAGAGCTATAGGAGAGGAAATTTGTGTTGTTTTGAGCCACTAAATTTATTAGGGCAACAATAGGAAACTAAGACCCCTAAACTTGGTCTACCCATAGTCTTCCTGTCTCAATTGATAATAATGCCCACCCTTCCAAAAACCTCCAAATGCCCCTTCCAAAAACCTTGAACCACCCTTCACTCCTTTTCTTCTCTCACCCCTCTCCAGAAAATCCTGCAGGTCCAATTTACGAAATTGCTGAAGTACGCAGTCATCTACTGTGACCAGCCTCTTTTGAGTGGCTGTCATCTGTCACCTGGATTATGGCCATGAACACTGGCCTCTTTGAAACCTAGATACTAGAATTAACTTTTTAGTTTTCAATAGGGAAATTTTCAAACATACATGAAACATAGAGAATAGTCCTTTTAAAAGTCAGTCATCTCATGCAATGTGCTCACAATCCTGCCATGGCTCTCATGTCCCTCAGAGTGAGAGCCAAACAGCCCTTCTCCACTCCCCCCCTCCCCCGCCTCACTTCTCTGATTTCTCTCCTTACTCCCCCTGCTCTCACTGAGCCCCAGCCACAGTGGACTCCTGGAACATGCCAGGCACATCCCCACCTCAGGGCTTAGCCCTCGCTGTGTCCTCTCCCTAGAAGTCCTTCCCAAGCTCTCCATGTGGCTGCCTCACTTCTGTATTCGTTCATGCCTCTCCTCTATGAGATTACCTTGACTTCAGTATCTAAAATTACAACCTGAAGACTGTGGACTTTATATGGATACAGATCATGCAAAACTCCTCTTTGCAACACCCATTGCACTGTACACTGCTGCTCCTGAAATAGGAAACTGGTGCCACTCTGGCAGAAGTGCCTCAGTTTACCTCCCCTGCTGCAGGATGTGTAAGGGGAATGAGGGTGGCTTTTCTCACTGCCCTCAGGGCTTTCCGAGTGCTTTGGACATGTCAGGCTTCCAGCCCAGCACTCAGGAGTCTTCACCTGTTTCATTTCTACCACAAGTTCTTGCCAGGTGGGCAATTTGACCCCCAATGATGCTGAGGCTCAGAGAACATGGACCCAGGCATATAAAACAAACAAAGACAAAACCATGTTTCTATCTGTGCATAATAATGGGTGTAAATGATAGAAAAAGGTCAGAGAAGATAAACTCCAAATTGCTAACTTCTAGGGAAGGGAGAACTGGAAAAGGTAAAAGGAGACTCTCATTACTACTGTGTTTAGTTTGGTATTACTCATTTTATTAAAAAATTAAATTTATCCTTTTATATATTAGTTAATTGCCTAAAAGCAAAAATAATGTAATCAATATTGAATGAATCAAGTTTGGGACATTAACTGAATCACAAGTGCAATTGTAGAAAATGTCCAGCAGGTGGAGCCCTGGTACAAGTTTGTAGTCTGGGGATTCCTTTAGCATAGCGGTTCTCAACCTGTGGGTCGCAACCCCTTTGGGGGTCGAATGACCCTTTCACAGGGGTTGCCTAAGACCATCAGAAAACACATATATAATTACATATTGTTTTTGTGATTAATCACTATGCTTTAATTATGTTCAATTTGTAACAATGAAAATACATCCTGCATATCAGATATTTACATTACGATTCATAACAGTAGCAAAATTACAGTTATGAAGTAGCAACGAAAATAATTTTATGGTTGGGGGTCACCACAACATGAGGAACTGTATTAAAGGGTCACAGCATTAGGAAGGTTGAGAACAAGAAAAATCGGTTTATTTGCGTTATGCTTATTAATTTGTGCAGTTATTTCAGTGTCTGGAAAGTCAATGTTCAATAAAAATATTAATTGTTATTAAAATGTTCTATTATTTTATGTTAGCAATTACTCTTTTATTTCAGTCCTTTGTTATTAAGTACTTCTCTCTTCTACCGCGACCAGCGTGGCTAGAGACCGGACAGGAGTCCTGAGTAGGGGCAGCTGGGGATTGAGAAAATGAAAGAGAGAGACAGACACAGAGACAGAGGGGAAAAGCTGGGA